GGGGGGGCGAGTTGAGAGCCCTGTAATGTGTGTGGGATGGCGATACAGAGGAAACATTTTCCCATCCCAAAATGGTGCCTGACGCAACAGTTGTGCCCCAATTGGGACCCCTCACTGCTCCTCCTCCCAAACAACTGATTTTACAATCTCATTTTTCTGTAGCATGCTTAAGATTAACTGCCATGCAATAGCTGCCCAAGACGCTAAAAAGTCATTTGTTTGTATAGCGCTCCATAATTTATGCCCCAGCGTGTCCCACTCATGGTAAGTTATGGTACTGGGCAGCGCATAGTTGGTCTTGGAAATCCATTTAATCAGCGCTTTTAGGGAGTCTTAGACAAAGATGTCTATGGGGTGTCCATGAAAATAAATGAAGCTTTATAAGCGTTTGTAGCTATTGCGCTCTTGCTTTGAAGGCAGCGCTCACATGAGTATTATAAAATAGTTTCAAATCTATACAACTGCTGGCCTACCTAATCCAGTGGGTTCATATCCAGTGTTGAGTTGTAGAGTCTGTTTGGGCGGGAAGCCAAGACCACTTTGTCGCCTGAGCCCGGGACGTGCAGAAAAACTTCTACACAGTAGAAGTTTCACTGAGTTCTTTCTGACAGTGGGCACCAATTAACAGAGTTGATTGCTAGTTGACTCCTCGCTCACTGCTTCTCAGAGAGGGTCCCTGTGGTGTGATCCCCCTTTACCAGGAGGAAAGGACCACGAGGTTTCTTCTCTGGATTCCAGTGGCAAAAAGCAGTTTATTCAAAATCCCATGGGCTTTTAAAGTCTCCAGGGAAGGGTATAGAAAGGGGAATGTGATTGGGCAAGGGTTCAGGGGAAAGGGAGTGGCTTGAGGGCTCTGCTAGCCAGTGGGGGATACAGGAGGACCAAAGTCCAATAACAAACCAGGGATTGGGGAGAGACAGATGAGACAACCAATAATGCTTGTGCAGGGGCGGGGACTGGTTCAGGGAGGGGAGAGAACATGGTGCTGTGCAGGGAGACCATGTAGGTAAAGGAAATTACAGAATTTGGGGCAGAACTGTACAATAAAAATGCAAGTAATCGGGGTCTTTCCACTCCGCTCAATCCCAGAGAGCTGCCGCCATGAGGGACCTGTTCCTATAGGCATTCTTTCCATGACTCATAATCTCTGTATTCTCCCACACAGAGCCTTTGAAGTTTTGCAAAAAGTCAGATTATCCATAAAAATTAGGTTAGAATAGCTCCAAAAGTGCTTCTGTTCCAACAGAAGATTAATTTTATGAAATGCAACTTGAATCCAGCAGTCAGTGGAGTATCTTTGTTTAGTTACTTTTTCCTCTGGAGGCACAAATTTCAGTTTATGGCCACAGCTCACCCTAATGATTGGTGTAAACTCAGAAATTTTTTCTGGGCATATCCTAGGTATCTCTCCCAAAGAGAGCCTTTGATCCATTAGGCAGAGTTCTGTTTACGACCACTGAGAGACAGTTTTCAATGATCTTTTTACATTTCACAGAATCATAGAATGGTTTGGGTTGGAAGTAACATTAAAAATCATCTAGTTCCAGCCCCCCTACCATGGTCAGGGACACTTTCTACTAGACCAGGTTGCTCAGAGCCCCATCCAACCTGCTCTTGAATACTTCCAGGAATAGGGCAGCCACAACTTCTCTGGCCAACCTGTTCCAGTGCCTCAGCACCCTCACAGTAAAGATTTTTTCCCTAATATCTAATCTAAACCTACTTTATTTAAATTTGAAACCATTCCCCCTTGTCCTGTCATTACATATGCTTGTAAATAGTCTCTCTCCACCTTTATTGAGGGCTCCCTTCAGATACTGGAAGCTATCTCTTCTCCAGGCTGAACAATCTCAATTCTATTAATGTTTCCTCATATGAGAGGTGCTCCAGCCCTCTAACAATCTTGGTGATCCTCCTCTGGACTCCAACAGGTCGATGTCCTTCCTGTGCTGGGGATCCCAGAGCTGAATGCAGCACTCCAGGTGGGGTCCCACCAGACCAGAGCAGAGGGGCAGAATCACCTCCCTCAACCTGCTTGCCATGCTGCTTTTGATGAAGCCCAGGATACAACTGGCTTTCTGGGCTGCAAGTGCACGTTGCTGAATCATGTCCAGCCTCTTATCCAGCAGCACCCCCAAGTCCTTCTCAGCAGGGCTCTTCTCAATTTCAGCTCTTTTTCTTTGATTTACTAACATGTCCAAAGAGGGTGCAATTTCTTACAATGTTGTTGTCATACGGTTTATTATTTTCACTTCCACAGCTTTACCATGAACATGTACCTGTTTGTGTATGACTTAATGCAATTCTGTGGACATTCATGGATATTTACAAATATGATCATCAGGTTCATGACATTTGGAACAGGTAGGATTCCTTCTCTATTTTCCTTAAGCATTTTAAGACACAGTGACAGACACAGTGAAATATCAAATGAGAGATTAAGTTAAGATTCTGAGTATGTGACTATAATTCAATTAGGAAAATACTCCATTAAAAAGACTGAACAAATTCCTGGTATCTATGTTCTGTCCCTGTTACATAAGGAATGAAGCTCATTTTGCTAATGGGCTTTAATATTCAGCAGCCTGCTAGTAACATTTGACTTAGACATAGACCTAAATGTGACTAGGTCCAGTCATTATGGCAAACATTAATCTTACTGAAGCCACCAGGAGAGAAGATGTTATTGCATATGACTCTCTATCTCCAAAAACATTACAATGTATTTCTCTCTCTATTGCCTGGAGTTAAGACACAAAAATAGAAAACTAGTGAAGATTTATAATGGTGGACAGTTGTAGGCATATAAAATGCCTCCTTTCTGGTCTACTTGTTTTAGGCAGTGCCCTGCGTACGGATACAGGCAGGAACTCAACATCTCCTCATGTTTAGACATTCCTCATGCATTTGCTCAACATTTCCTCTTATTTAGAAATATCCTAAAGTGGTATCTCTAAACCAACACATCCAGCACAGTGTTTGCCCATGAATAGGGAATTTAATTACTATCTCAGCTCCCTGCCTCTGTATCAGAGCCACACATGGAGCGGACTGCCTCTTCCAATCCCTGAAGCTTGGCTTCTGCTACCCAAAAGTTTGGTACTGTGTGAACTTTACTTCTCTATATCTCCAGTGGTGATAGGGCAAGAGCTAACCCAGCAGTTGCTCCAGACCTTTGCTGTATAACCATCCTCTACTTTTCCTCTTCACTTTGTCTGTAGATTCGTTGGCTGACACATTTTACTCCATAGGACTTGTAATGCGTGTTTGCCAATTGTTATCTATACTGGAGATCCTGCACATCCTCACTGGCATTGACAAAAGCCGTCTCCTCCCCAGGTTTTTGCAGGTAAGACCATTTCTCAAAACTCTCTTCATGGCCTGCACATGTCAGCCATGGCCACCCCTGGGGACAAGCCCAGGCTGAACTATCCTGAATGTTCCACCTGCACCCTTCCTCAGGGAGCCTAGTCTGCTGATAGTTTGCTAACTGCAGGAATTGAGTCCTCAGAACTGGGTTGCTTGGGAAAGGATTTCCCACTGAGGGACAAAATCTCAGGCCACCAGGCATCTGAGAAAGGTTAGGCAGGCCAAGGCCAAGTCACACCATGAAAGAAAATGAGTCCTGTGTGATGGATGTGCTGGGGGAAGGCAAGACAGGGCACAGTTGCAAAGCTGGTGCAAAAGGGATGTCTCTTGGGGCATTTGCAGCTTGAGTTGGAGGAGGACAGGAGAACATGTCTTTGTCACCAAAACAGAAGATAATAAAATATGACAGTCTGGCCAGGGAGTACAGGCAGATGGGACTGGTACCTTACTAAGGAGATAGGAAAGATATAAAAAAAGACTGGTGGTTTGGTGAACAAAACACCAGTTCTTCATCCTATGCAAACAGGATTTGATTTACCAAACCAAAACCAACGTACTACTGTGATAAAACCATTAATTTTAAACTTTAAATATTTAGTAGCACTTTTCTCACTTTCTTTTGTTGTTGTTGTTTTTTTTTTTTAAACATTCACTGAATTGAAGAGCTGTGTAAGGGTTTCAGCTACCAAGTATGATACTGCAATCACAGTCATTAAAAAATGGAAGTGAATGTGCTGTCTGCTCCTGCCCAAACCTCAGCTAGCCAAATTTGCTCTGTTTCATTTACTTGATTCAAAAACACAGGCTGCCTTGTGGAAATTTACGCCCTTCTACAGAACTTGCTGTATTCTGTGAGAGATCAGTGCTGGGAGAGGAAGGAAATTCCAATTTGATTTTAAAGAAGGAAAGAAAACTGAAACGATTGTAATTATGCTTTGTGACATGTTAGCACATATTTTCTTTTTATGAATGTGAAAACATAGGACTTGGGGATTTGCTGGTTTGTTTTTTTTCTAAGCAAGAGAGCAGCAAAAGAGAATCCCATATTTTCATTCATGCGAAGACAGATGATCCATACAGAAAATGATCCATTGCTGAGCAGTAGCATGTGCTTTTTATCTGTGTGTGTATATGTGCGTATACACACACGTGTGTATATTTATATATGCACATGACTCCATGTATATATGTATACAGATACGGTGTGTATAGGGGCACAATATCAACAGACATTTACTGGAATCTGCTTCAAGTAGCTTGTCACTTGCAGAGAAGGTCTCTGATTAACCCCTGCATCTACCTTTGATTTATGCATGCTACATAAAGGTATGAGCTGCGAAAGAGCACAACGTCTTAGAGAATAAAGGCAAGCAGGCAGGCAATCCCCTGATTTATGCAGTAAAAGAGGTAGGATGCCACTGCCTGTCCTCAAGGGGACATTACAATTGCTCTGAGTAGCCAGGTCTGTGTCCTGCCTGCAGACACACTCCAGAGTAAGGCCACATGTCCTTTCTGGTTTCAGTGTCTGGTGGCTGCTTTGTGCATCCCATTGTTTGCCAGATGAGACTGCAGTCTAACGGGAACAGAAGACCCACAGGGGGCACAGCTTTGTATCATGTTCAATTTCCTGCTCTTGCAGGTGCTTAACATAGTTTACTGTCTGATTACCAAGTTCCATCATGTGCAAATAGTAAAGCTGAGTGCCTCCATCACTCCCCTTCCCAAACCTCTGATGAAGGAAATCTGCCTCTTGGGTTTCTGCTTGTGCCCTAATGAGAGAAGGAAATCCACAGCCTCTTCCACTTCCAGATCATGATGCTGAATTGTGGGTCTCCATAGCTACTCTGTCTCACTAGCCAGTGCACATTCTTTTGAAACTGGGGATGGTGACTTCCTGCTGCTTGTCCTTTCTCTCACTGATATGGAATCAGATTCTGATCATTTGACCCATGCTGTTTTCCAGTGCATTTCCACCCAGCTGCTTCTTGAAAAGCAAGTGACCATTTGGAAAATCTTCCAGCTCTGACATCTAAAAACATGTCCATCTTTTCATTATCAGGAAATTATCTTTTCATTATCCTTGGTCTCTAGGACAATTTCCTGTGGCAACTCCCTGAAGTAGCTCTTTATTAACAACATTGCAGAACTCTCTCTCCACATCTCAGTCTGGTGTTAGGGTGAGTAGCAAAATGCCCACATCACCAATGCTGCACTCTTTACCACCCTTCATCTAACAGTTTTATCTCAGGTCTATTTTATCTGTTCTCTCCAGCACACAATTCCATTCAGTGCTCACACTGCTTTTACCTTTGTTTTATTTTCCCTCTTGTGATGGTTGTCCTGCCATGTTTCTCCTACCTCTGTTCTATCTGGTTTCAGATCCTGAATCAGTACTTCCAGTTCCCCCATGTTTTTGTCAGGTTCCTCAGCATCACTGTACAAACACAGGACATATTACCTCTCACTTTCTGTTTCTTGGCCCATATGTACAGAAGTCTGTCAACATCTGACCTTCTTGGAAATCAATTCCTCAGTTAGGGACCTATGGGATCAGCAACACAAGATGACAGTCAGGAGAGCGTTAGAGGCAGCAAAACCATTTTTAGCTGTTGTGGCCCCTCAGTGCTTTCCAAGATGAGGAACTAGATCCCCAGGGGATAGACATGCTTTCTTTCTGTATGAAAAATTGCTCTCACGTAATTTGGCTGAATAGTGAAGTGAAGGCTGCTTTATGCAACAGATGTGGATTGCAAAAAAAAAAAAAAAGTTTGTCCCAAAATGATCCACACAGGAACCCATAAACATTATGTAGCAAAACTACCACACAAATTGGCTAAAAGGCAAAGTTCTTATTTTGTTTAAGGTAGGAGTAAGGTAAAAAGGGGACACCAGTGAAGCATAACTGTGCTTATAAAAATAACCTTGGTAATCCATTTTCATTTCACAACTTTTCAATGACTTGACACCTCAACCTCTGAAATCATTAAACCTAAGGTATCTTATGGAAGACATGGCAGTGGGTAAAAAAACCAATGAAGCCATATTGATTCATACTAACTGATTAGATGCATGTTTTCTTCTTCAACACTTTCAAATACAGTGTAAATCAGAGTGAATTGGTAATGTTCTCGGCGAGCCTGACAAGCAAATTCTTGGCAGTACTAATATATTTACTTTGCAGGGCAGGGCATGGATACTGTTAGGAAACTTTTCCAGGAAAGCTGCAAAAAGACAAACTTGTTTTTAATTTCTTGAGCTTTAGTACCACAAAAGTCTTTATTTTAAGCTGGGGACACTGCCCGTTTAATCCACTTTTATCTCTTCATTTGTAAAGGCATACCTTGTGGGTTGGATAAAGTTCAACCACTAGAAAAATCTTATGACATAAATACTGTGGCAATCATTCATGTAAGCGACAAACTTAAATCCACCTCCCCCAGCCAAGGATAAGATGGAAAGAAAGACAGGAATTCTGCTTTTCCTCCCTTTCTGCAAATCTTACATGACAGAGATGCCTTGAGACACAGATCTCTAAGTTATGGCAAACAGAGCTGGGAGCGTGAGATTAGTACTTTCCGGCACACTACCCCTCCAAGAAGTGCCCTCTGTATCCTACTGCCTCCCACACAGCCTACAAGCAAGGAAGCTCATCTCTGCTGGCCCTCCAGGCACCCGTGTGCAGTGGGAGTAGTCCTTGCTTCCACGACCTCAGCTGGTTCAGCCACAGGTTTCCTTGGCTACAAACCCGAGTCATGCTGGTTGGCAAGCAAACCTCCACACTTACCACGGCAGATCTGTGATGCTGCAGCCAGCAGTCTCCAGTTGCCTGTGCTGAAGGCCAATGGGATCTTGAACAAAAGCAGGCCAGGAAACAAAACATTCACTGCTGAATTTGCGTAAAGGAAACTGGATCCCCCCGTGGCCTCCTATTTTGCCAAAATGGCACAGAAATAACAGCTACAGAAGGTGCTACATGAATTCAAAATTCTCTTTTCTTTTCAGATCACTGAGAGAATAATTGTTTTATTTGTCGTGATCAACAGTCAGGAAGAAGTTCAAGGGAAATACGTCGTGTGTGTTTTATTTTTCCTTTGGAATTTATTAGATGTGGTCAGGTAAGGAGTCAACATCAAAACCATGAGGAGAAAATGGGTTATTCTTGCCACCAGACCCCCCCCCCCTTACTGTGCAGCAGGCTCATTTAATTGTTTCAAAATTGGCAAAGCATATTATCCATTTTAAGTAAAGCTTGAACCTTGTAAGTTACTTACTGTTTTTTATAAAAATCCACATGGTTGAGAGGCAGAGTGATTTAAAAATATAAGACAGAGTAATGCAGTAACATAATGCATTATCATTTGTAGTTCAAAGGCTTTGCCTTTTTTAACAAAAATTTAAAACAGAATCACAACCACCTTCCAAGGAACACCAATTTCCAAAAGTGATTTCCCATCCTGTTGCTTTATTTTTTTGTTTTTATCCACTTTGATCCAAGATTGACAGCACAGTATGGCATAAGCAGAACTTCTTGCTAAAACTAAAAGATTATTCTAGGTTAATTGCACCTGTGCTTTTCAAAGAGCCAAGAGGTCCCATAGCAGAGATGAGCATTTTGGTGTAGTAGGGCATATATCACACTACAAGGACAACAAACATACTTCTCAAATGTAACATAAGCCTCTATGCACCTCAGTTTGTACACTTACAACAGGTAAAACATACAGAATAAAGAAGCATTTTAAGAAGACATACCCCTCACAGTAACCTACGTATGGCAGCAAAATCTTTTTTTCTTCTGCTAAAATAGCTTTCTGCTACTTCGAATATATTGCTTAGGGGACTGACTGAAAAATATGGATTTAGGCAGCAAAGGAAATGCATGTTATAAAAGAGATCTAAAAAAGGAAAGTGTCAGAACTGATAGAGATTTTAAGTCAGCTTCAGAGTATTTGTACTACATGTGTTAATAGATTACTACTTGTATTATTTTCATTATTGCTCCATCCCATTTATTTTTGAAGCTTGTAAAGCTAAAACAGTAGAACTTAATCTGAAATGAAAGGGTTCTGTGCAGCTGGAGAGATGCCAAAATATAAACAGAATTGGCTGTAAAGTCCTGTCAGTGCACAGTAATTCAATCAATGCATCATTAATTTTCTACCATTGCTAAAGAACATGCTCCAGCATCACAGCAGTAATGGCAGTTGCTTAGTAAGCAAAATACTGTAGTCTATAGCAGCAAATGACCAATTCAAATAACATATTACAACTCATATAGGTTTAGAATTATTGCCTGATTTATTTTATAGCATCTGTGTCATATCCTAGTATCTCAAAGAAACATCTATGTCTAAAAGTGCAAAGGGATCTATCCCATCCAACTACTCTTGAAATATTACAAGTTCTTCCACATAGTCTTTCAGGGGCATAAATATCCCTGAAGGACTACTTATTATGCATTATGACTAATGGTGGCCATGAGCAAATTCTGCAAGGTTTTCTATACCTGATCTTTCCTGCTTATAGCATGAACAGCCCATGGAGTTGTATAGAGAGGGAGTAGCTGTGTCCTTTTCCTGTTTTGTATCAGGTTGAGATTCAGCTTTAAAAGCAACAATAATAAAAAATGGAGACAATCCCAAGGTTTCAGAGATCAAACTTGAGAGAAAATGGTACAGTTACAGCCTATCAAACTCTTCTACAGTCCAGGTATGATGCAAAATGAATCAATTAATAAGAAGGGAATATAGAAAGTTTGTTTAATGTTGGTTTCATCTATCACAAAATCTTGGGTAACAGGTTTTCATATCTCTAGCAAGACCACAGCGCAAAAAGCCTTTCAGCTGACCAAAAAAGAGATCAGACCTGTTTCTCAGTGTTTGGAAAGCTGCTGTACCACTTTAAGATCAAACCAGAATTAGCTCATCTTTGGAGACTGAAGTCCTAAGCATTCTGGTCTCCCAGTAACAGCCACAGTAAGAATAAAATGATGAAATACACTGGAGCACAACTGTTTGTTTTTTTGCTCCTACTACCCCTTCTGAGATCTAGCATAGGAGCAGATGTACTACAGAAGGTTAAGTTCCTGCAATTACCTTCCTGTTTAGCCTTCTCCAGCAATGATTTAGCTAGCTCAGCAGTCATAAATTAGCATTTTCTTAGTCCCAAGTGATAGGCATATTCTACCTGCACCTACCCAGATGCAATATCCCCATCTGAAATTTATTTTCTAATGGATCAGTATGAAATCATGATGTTTCTGATGGAGTTGTCTGTCTGGAGGGCTCTATTGCCGTCTGCCTGCTCTGGAGTAGCACCACAGACCCACCTCTCCAAAACAATAAACCATCTACTTTTAGGCTATGGAGCCTTAAAAAAGCCGTTGCTCACTCTGAAATTTACTGAGATAGGCAGCTCCAAGCTCTTCTGCAATTCCTTTGGATTTTTCAATAACATCTCTTTATTCTAAAAGACATCATCATGCCCTCTGAGCTCATCTGCTTTCCTCTTGCTGCAGATACACTTACAACATGTTGGCAAGGATGGGAATATACTACCTACCATTGACATGGCTCAACTTCTCACTGTGCATCCCACTTTATCCCCTTTCAGTTCTGGCTAAAGGTAAGAAGTGGGAAAGGTACCAACAACTTGCTTCCTCAATATTCTTCAATAAAATGTGATCACTTTAACTGCCATTTGCGTTTAAGATAGTTCTTCTTGTGTTGCCAAAGTTTTCATAAATGTTTATGTACCTTCAGATTAACCTGTATGTCACCTCTCTTTCTCTTTTCTGTTCTTTTTTCTTTAATAGGAGCTCTCTGATGTTTGGAGTTTGTGTGTCTGGTGGGGTTTTTGTTTGGTTTTGGATTGTTTTTTAACAATATAGGAAAATGTTCGTTTTTCTGAGAAAAGCAGAAAAATACTCTCGTAAAAGACAAACGGATTCCCCCATTCCAGACTGAGCACATTAGACAGCAAGTTCCAAAGCTGCCTTCTCCCCCACTGAGGTTGACCCTACTGGTTTAGGCCATACTTAGCAGATCATCATACTTACTTCAAGAAAAGTGCCCACTGAGAGCACACTGAAAGCACTGTAACTACAGGATTGACACTGAATAGGAAATACTTGCTAATTCTAGTACTAAGAGCAATTAGCACCTCAGACCTACAAAACTGAACTCAAGGAGAAAATGTTCATATGTGTATTAATATATATGAATGTGAATATATATGTATATTAATGCATAGGTATATACAATACAGCTGTTTGTGCTTTAAAAGTAATTAACTGTTACACAAAGCTTTTTGATGATCTTCCACCTCCTTTTGACTAAGGATTTACCATGTTTTACAGCATTTGCAATTTGTGTATCACTGCCTTATTTTGAATATTTTGGCACATACTCCATCAAGCTACCATTTCCATTCGCCTTCTCAATCTACTTCCCCTATGTTCTGAAAATGTACCTGCTAGTGCTCTTTACAGGTAAGTATCTCATCTTTCAGAAAGCTGGGTGCCAAGGCAACTGGGATGTCTATGGTAACAAAAAATCAAGTCAGTATTGTGCCTTTCACAAACTCTAACTGTCTGCCACATCTTCTGCAGACCACTGCAGGGAAGTGCATCACCACCTGTTTTGATTTCCAGTGTCTTTCAAATACAAGTAATTGAATTTGTAAGATACATTATGTGTGTGAGGCATAAAAATACAAACCAATAAAAATTGTTTCAGTGGTCCTGGCCTTACAGCTACTTAGAGAAGCTTTCTTTTTTGTTTTGTTTTGTTGTTGTGTGTTTTTTTTTTTTTAAATCAATTTCCATTTGATCATACTCTTGTTCTGTGCAACTATTGCTCATTCATTTGTGCTAGCTGGGATGAGAAGTTATATCTAAATTAACACTTTTACCGCTTGATTATTCAAAAGAATGAAAAAACTAGCCGACTCCAAAACCTGCATGTAAATAGACTCCTTCTCCTCCTCATCAAAATACTTTGGACATTACAGACAAGTCTTTGTTCTGTCATTGACTTTAACATGAATTTGAAGGATCTCAACTTTTTGATGCAGTGTTCTGTTCCTAAGTATGTGGAAGGAACTGTGCAAGGTTGCCAGATGAAGGCTCCTACTGCTCCTTCTAAACTTATTGAAGACAGTTTTGGACTCTGTTCCCTTGTTCTTACACCATTTTGTGTTTTGATTCAGGTATGTGCTTTATCATCCAGAACCTCTTCTCCGAGAGAAAGGCACACCTAGGGACAGGCAACATCAAAAACAAAAGAAGCTAAGTCGATATTTTGTTTCGAAATACAAAATATACTCCTAGTGGACTGCTGCATATCATACGTTAAAAAGAAATTAGACAAAGATTTTTCAATGCAACGCTCCTCTTTGCATGTACATCATCTGACTGTGTAGAATTTTCAGAAGGGCAGGTCTCTTGAATGCACCTCAAAAATGGAGCAACTTTGGAAAACTTTTGAAAGTTTTAACTAAAAATTACTGGAGTTTTTGATATTAATATATTTTTTCTAACATATATTAGAGAATTCTGAACAAACTGAAGAGTGCCTCCACTCACAGTCACACCAACAAACCTTATTTCAGTATTAATTCTTACCTCATTGGCAACAAATACTCTGTAATGACAATTACCATTTAATCTGTAAGATTACTTTATATTAGGCCAACATGAATGTGCCTGATATATAAAAGTTAAAAAGGCTAGAACTGGAATCTCTCAAGGAGAAACTAGAACCTTTGCAACCTATGAGACTGACATGCTGATTAGCCCCAGGCACTCACCTTCTGGCCCATTCTTCACTTAACAAAAGAAGATTCCAGTACATGCAGCTAAACCAGAAAGGCAAGTGATCAGGTACTCAACTACTATATATTCAAGGGGATATTTAAGGATCAGAAATAAATACTTATGATCACGTATCTGCCATGACTTGCCTCTCTCCCCTCAATGATTTTCTCCCATGCTGAACAGCAGACAGATGTGTGCAAAAGAAGTGGGATGCAGTCAGGCCAAATACATGTTGCTCTTTAAAGGGAACTGAATGACTACCAAAAACTATGTGCAAAAATTTAGGCATTTTACTCAATTGCATTGCTCCTCATACTTCTGCAGCACTATCTGTGAGAATGCAACTAGATCATTGGCTCTTCAGAGGTTGGGAATTAAGAATACAACAGTAACACAGTGGATTGTACAGGCAAAAGTAGCCAAATAATTCATTTTGGCTGGCAGGGGCTTTTCTGATGTTTTATTTGTATTGATTATCACCTGCATTTCAATAGGTGGGGCAGAAAAGTGAGGCTAACTTTTTGAGCTTGACTGAAAACTGTGGGGAAGGAGGCAAGATAATAGTAGGAGAGAATATAATAAGAAAATAAACACTATCACAATATGCAGAGGCTTTTGTCCATAAGACTTTTTAAACCACGTAGCCTAAGAAGTTCTATAAGGAAACAGGGAAGCTAAACTAATGTGTTATGAAAGGTCACCTACTATACTTTTTATATATTTAATATCTGTGGCAGGCAATGCCTGCAGACTATTGTGACCACTCTATTTGCAAACCATAAGCAACAAGATCATGCATGCAATAGTATAGGGTCAACCCTGGATTCTTTTTTTTCAAAGCACTGGAAACAGACAGGAATTTGGAACTTACTAGACAAACACACAAAAGAAGTACTTCCACTTTGGACTTCTGTCTAATCCAAACTGATTCCAGTGTGAACAACATGAAGAAACATCTAGAACAACTGAATAAGATGACAGTTTTGAAGAGGATAGCCAGAATAAATCCATATGAAACTATATAACTTTGAAACATGGACATTATCTCCCTTGGAAATTAAATCTGTTTGTTATCAAGCTACCTGGAGTTAACATACCCTGTAGGAGGAAACATCACATAAGATATTGTATTGGGTCTACGTGGCAAGGCTTTGGTACTGTAGAAGCTGTAGGAATGGCCTCCATGAGAAGCCATGGGCCTCCCCCATGCCAGAAACAGTTGGCTCTAGCCAGTTCCAAAATTGAGCCACTGCAGGACACTGCTGAGCCAAACAGCAAAAATGGTGGCATCTCTGTCAACGTTTACATAAGAAAAGGTAAAAAAATGTTATGCAGCAGCTGTGAGAAAGAAGAGTAAGAAAAATTGAGAGAAACAGCTCTGCAGACACCAGGGTCAATGGAGAAGGAGAGGAGGAGCTGCTCCAGGCACTGCAGCAGATTCCCCTACAGGTCATGGAAATCATGGTGGACCAGGCTGTCCCTCTGCAGCCCATGCTGAAACACACTATACAGAAGATATCCACACTGCAGCCTGGGGAGGACCCCATGCTAGAGCAGGTGGCTGCACCCTGAAGGAAGCTGCAGCCCATGGAGGGCCCACATAAGAACAAGTTCCTGGTAGGAACTGCGGCCCATTAGAGACCCAGGCTAAAGCAGCCTTTTCCCAATGGATTGTACCCCATGCCAGAGCAGTGCTTGAAGAGCTGCAGCTTGTGAGAAGGAACCATCAAGGTCTGTATCCCATGGGAGGGACCCCATGCTAGAGCAGGGGAACAGCGTGAAGAGAAACAAGCAGCAGAGATGAAGGTTTATGAACGAAGTGCAACTCCCGTTCCCTACCCATCTTGCACTGCCTGGGGAGGGAGGAGGTAGAAGATTCAGGAATGAAAGAGTAAAGCTGACCCTAGGCAGAATGGAGGGGTAAGGAGAAGGCAATTTTAGTTTTGTCTTTCTTAGCATCCTACTCTATTTTTAACTGGCAATAAATTAGTCTTCCACAAGTTGAATCTGGTTTTCTGATAGTGAATGGTAAATGATCTCCCTGTCTTGACCCACGAACTTTCCCCCTGTCCTGTTAAGTTGTTGGAGTGAGAATGGACATCTGGCAGCCAATCTAGGTCAAACCTACCGCAGATTAAACCATGTTTATTGTTTTATGTTAAAAAACCGTTATGTCACTGAGTCTTGCAGCAGTCTAAAAGGCTAGAATAGGAAAAGGATTCTTTGAAATTCACTATGGGGAGGATTCCTGTAGGCATAGGTATGCTTTTGGAAGAATTCATCAGGGGAAACTAGAACTTGCTGTTCCACTTAGGAAGCTTTTCTCCCTATCCCTTCTGCATTTCAGAGAAAGCTGCAGGGAGAGCTGTGAGTAAGCTCTCTCTGGAATGCAGGAGAGATTAAGTTCACAGACATGTACAGGGCCTCCTTGGGCCAGAAATGGTGGGGGAGGAGAAAGAGAGGATAAAAAAAGCCCTGGAAGAGCAGGGGAGCCTTTTTTCTGAGGCCCAGTGCTGTCCTGCAGCACTGTGAGGTTTTTGTAAGTTTTTAGCGTCCTTGTCTTTGAAATAAACCTTTCTGAATCCTTTCCACTGCCTTGGCATTTTTGGGTAAAGTATCTGCATACCTTACAACCCCCAAACCCAAACTGCAAGAAAAAGGCATGAACCTAATGTCAGAAGACTTCCCCACCTCCTTCTGGTACAGAGGTAAATTGAGGCAGGCAATTGGGAGATCCAGGCAGTCAGACTTCCATGTGCGATGACAGCAGGCCACTGTACCTTCAGCTCCAATGCCTCACCTGAGTTTCTGGGAAAGCTCTGTTTTGGGCAGGCAAAAAGATGTTTAAGACAATGGCTTTTATGACAAAGAGTTGTACTTCAATGACTGTAGCCTGTTAGAGAGGGATGGGATCCACCTGTCTAAAAATGGCAAGAGAATCTTTGGTAGCTTATGCCATTATGTTCTCCTGGGGTGTAGGCATGGCAGGATGGGTCAACATGGGGGAGAACAGTGGATGTTGTCTACCTTGACTTCAGTAAGGCTTTTGACATCGTCGTAGGTAAGCTCAGGACATGTGTTAGATAAATGGACAGTGAGGTGGACAAAGAACTAGCAAAGCTCAGAGGGTTGTGTTCAGTGAAACAGAATCTGGTTGGAAGCCTGTAGTCAGTGGTATTTCCAGGCATCAGTACTGGATCCAGTCTTAATTAAATTTGTTTACCAACAACCTGGATGAAGGCATCAAATGCACCCTTCAGCAAGTTTGCTGATAATACAAAGCTGGTGGGAGTGGCTGATAAACCTGGAAGCTGTGCTGCTATTCAGCAGAACCTTGATAGGCTGGAGAGCTGGGCAGAGAGAAACCTAATGTGGTTCAACAAGGGCAAGTGTAAGGTCCTGCACCTGGGGAGGAATAACCCCAAGTACCAGTACAGGCTGGGGGCTAAACTACTAGAGAGTAGCTCTGCAGAGAAAGACTTGGGAGTCTTAGTGGATGACAAGTTAAACGTCAGCCAGCAGTGAGTTCTTGTGGCCAGGAGGGCCAATGGTATCGTGGGGTGCACTGGGAAGAGTGTGGTCAGCAGGTCGAGGGAGGTGATCCTGCCCTCTACTTGGCCCTCCATACTAGAGTTATACAATTGTTCCCTTGTTGGCATAATATGTTTTATTATGAGAACGTGTGATTCCCTTCTCTGTCCCCCTGTTACCTCTTCTCCTGTTGGTTCTATGTAAACCCTTTCCTTATTTGTCCGACCCTGCTGCATCGCAGTACTCCCCATAGATGGTTTTTCATTTGTCCATGTTTAGATAAGTTCCGCCCCTTGTTACTGTGATTGGCTGCTCCTTGAATACTTCTCCCAGTCTCCACCCTTTGTTCTAGCGAGTTCCCTGCTCTCCCTTTATAAGCCGGTGTCCATGTCCAATAAATGGCCATTTTGTTTCAGACTGTGACTTGCATGCAGAGTGGTCCTTCTGGGTCTTGCTTAAGTGGGGGTTATAGCTCTCCCCCTGTCAGACAAGGGCTACTGATCCAGAGATTTCTCCTCATTGTCTATAGATTAAATAATCAGTGCTGGCGTCATGGATGACTGAACAACAGCAGACAACCACAATGACATCTGCTTTGTTTTTCATCCCCCTAATTCTCACCCAGAGGCC